TTCAGATTCGAAACATCCTATCTATGAACTCGAAATCCTCCTTCTGGTAGTTGCAGTAAAAATCTGGGCCAAATTTATCTTCAGAAAGCCTGCTGTCCATTACCTAGACAACGACGCAGCCAGATCAGCTTTCATTCGTGCGAACGCATCTACTGCATTCGGAGCCATTTTAGTTGCTGAATATATAAATTTTGGATATAAAGGTCGCTTCAGCCCTTGGTTTGCAAGATGTGCCAGCCACAGCAACCCATCAAATCAACCGAGGCTTGACTTCACTGCACCTTGGAGCAAACATGTCGAAAGGATTGACGTTGTCCAACCAGCGCACTTGTCAGAGTGGGGAAACAACGGGTGCACTGACACCTGAAAGCAAAATTTCGAGTAGTCAAACAAAAATGGAAGATCTTGGGTAACATGGATCCATTCCGCACCTTCTTTGATGCCATAGCTGGAAACAAGACCAGCACATCGAAAACTCCGCCGACAGTGCAAGCTTTGGAAGAAAAAAGGACGCGTGAGAATGTGCTGGACGATTTTCGCATTTGTCAAACTTCCAGTTCGACTATCCGGCAATAGAATTTTCAATGTAAACAATTTTTGAAGTGTGTTTAAAACGCACTCTTTGCTGGCAAACCCACGGCGATTGCATATCGCGAATTCCATATATATATATATTTTTATTATTAGAAATACCAAGGTGTATGGTTTTACTATACAGTTGTTGTAAAAATAGAAACGACCACCACCAAGCTGTGTTTAGTTTAAACAAGGTCCTGGTTTATGGAGGAATAAGGTGTCACTCTTTTGAAAAAAGATGAAAACATTATTCCTCCGAAAAAAATATGAGATATCACAAATAAGGATCTTGACTTCTAAACACAAACTGTGGTGAAGTGATACTATTATCTTTAAACAACAACGTGTCTGTAACTCCATACGTTTAATCTCTGGTAGAAGCCTGTTGATTATCTTATTTATCCAGAAACAAACAAACCAAATTGAAAAAAACAAATTTTCAGTGGAATCAATTTTTCAATTCCCATCGTCCGATACATTCTTCTTCAAGTGGTGGGAGGGAGTGGTTTCCCTTTTAAAGCAAAAGGATTTTTCGAGCACCCATCCCGTTACACTCCCGCCCTTGAGGAAAGGGAAACAACGGGTGCACTGACACTTGAAAGCAAAACTTCGAGTAGTCAAACAAAAATGGAAGATATTGGGTAACATGGACCCATGCCGCACCTTCTTTGATGCCATAGCTGGAAACAAGACCAGCACATCGAAAACTCCCCCGACAGTGCAAGCTTTGGAAGAAAAACGGGACGCGTGAGAATGTACTGGACGATTTTCGCATTTGTCAAATTTCCAGTTCGACTATCCAGTGAGCGACAATTTTTTGGCAATTTTAACCTCTGTTTTAGGTGGTTCTGTCGTTTCGGCACTGGCAGCTGTCACGTCATTCGTTTGAGGTCGATCAGCATCGTCGCGTCAGGCTGAGGTGCAGCGGCTGTGTCACTGGGTCCCGCATTGGCTGGTACATCAGCTGGTGTTCCTGTCCGGTTCGCGGTTGCTGTTGAAAGGTTGGGCTCGGCAGAATTAGCAGAGTCAAAGATAGCTGGAACCCCTGTTTGCATCTGGAGATACAGTCGTTCCGTAGCTTCCTGTTTAGGCACACTCGGCTGTGAATCTTGCGTGCCAGGCGTATCTTGGGTTTGTTTTGCCTGCTCGTTTGTGTCACCCGTGGGGCTTTTTTGAGTCCATCTTCCCGTTTTGGGGGTTTGTTCCTGTTTAGGCTGTCCAGTTTGTGAGTTTGGTCGCAATGGTTTCTGTACGGTTTGGAACCGTGGCATGATAATGTCGTGCAACTCAGGGGGGAAAATCTCGTTTGTTTTAATAAGCCATTCGATGATTTTCTCGTGCGGCCAAAGTGAAGTTCTGAAAAGGCTAATAGTCTTATCACCTTTGTTTTCTTATATCCAAAACAGCGGTCTGGAAGAAAACATATCGTACGACAAAACAATCCAAGGCAGCAAAAACTCAAACTTTTTGTTATTGGCGTATACAACAGCACCATTGGGATGTACCTTGAGGTAGATGTCATTCCATTTGAATGGGCACACTGTCTTAATGGTGCGGCCATACTCGTTGTAAATATGCAGTCGAACATCCAAATAAGCTGGAGCCACATCATACTGGTCGTCAATCTATGGGATGTCAACAAATTCTGGCCTACCTTCACATTTGTGATTGACCACTTGCCAAAAATTTTCGTGGAATTCATTATCCAGTGAAATACCCAGCGGTGAGAAAATCGTCCATGATATTTTATCAATATATAATTGATATTCGACCAGGATGAAATTGTAATTAACACACTGTGTGCCGACAGTCATTTGAACAGAGATTAACCATAGTTTGGTTTCTACTGCTTGGGCCGTTATCAGATTCATACCTGCAATGATATTACATTGCTTCGGTTTCGTAATGTAAACCTCTCCGGAAGGGTAAGACATGCTGGCCACCAGCCACGGGTCTCCCGTGTTGGTTTGAGCGGTTCCTCTTATGCAGATATCGCACACCTTCTGGATAGGTTATTGTTGGGCGAACTACTGCTCTTCTGGCCGAGAAATTCACCGGGAAATATGGTATAAACTAGGCAGGAGATCATCGCTGAGCGTACTATTGCTGTTTATTACAGCAGGCACCAAGCAGTGGGTCTCCCACGTTG